CAAAAGTCCGTTACAATGTTGAATCTGAAACTGTACCAATGACCTTCAGCTCTGTTATACTAAAAATCCCTGGGTCTGTGCTTCACTTTGAAATAAATCATTTACCATCATTTTGAATCATCATGCATTAGTCATTTGGAAACTATTAGCTTACAGAGTTGTGCAGATTTTACAAATGTTGACATGTTTCATTATACAGTATCAAAATTGGATTTGTCAATATCATCACAATCTTATTAGAAAAGGCTCTGTGAACTGGGAAGCTAAAAAGCTCCTAGCAGCAGATGCGAGTTTTCCAAAATTTTCATTTTCACTTGAAAGCTTCAGTTTTATCATTGGCAGCACATTCTGCCCGTTATTTTCCTTGAAGTGACAGGCTAACTTTGTTCTTTTTTAAAGAAAATGTCTGCCAAATATCCAAGTCTGAGTAACCATAGTTCATCTGTCAGTGGTTCTTTCAAGGAGAAATGATGTTTTGTTTTAAAAAAGTGGCTAATTCAGCTCTTAACTCATTCATGCAAGTGCTTTTCCTGGAGGTGACTGTATACAGCAGAAGTCCTTTATGGGTATGTGTGCTAACCATTTGGTTACACAAAATGTTCAAAAGATGTGTAGTCAGGGTCAAGATTTGATAAAACTGATCATTTTTGCTGTCTCTATAAGGACAGTCTGAAGTGAAATTGGCATTTTTTTTTAATTGCATGTGTGAGGCAGTGATGAGTGTTAGCAACTACAAGCAACATAATAAAGATATTGTCACTTGGTGCCACTGCCTTGATTCATGCTAAGGCACCAACAGTCTTACCCACCAATGCTTTTGCACCATTAGTGTAAATTTTAACCAGTAAAAAAGGTAAATAATATCTTAGTTTTATTATGAAAATAATTGTGACCTCGTGGATCCCCAGAAACACCGTAGGGACCCCCTATGTGTGGGGGGGTCTACAGATCGTGTTTTGAGAACTGCTGATTTAAGTGCCAGAGTCTTCCTAAGTGAATCAGAGGTCAGGTAGGGCACATTGTTGGTGGCTGGGGGAGAGGAGGGGAGGATTGGACATCACATCTCCATGGAAATTGAGACTAAACACTGACCTATCCAATACTGTCATTGTAAAGATGAAGAAATGGAGGACAGTGAGGTTTGTTCCAAGTCCTCCTGCTGGATTGTGACAGAGTCAGGATGAACACCCTGGCTTCCTCATGATGCACACACAGCAAGTATATGAGCCTCTGTCAGGTTAGGTCTCTCACCTAAATTTCTCTTGTGAGTATTTATCAAGCTCTCACTGTGTGCCAGGTGCAATGCTAAGTACAGAAGATAAATCAATTGACATTTTCCTGTCGTTAGACTTGGTAGTCAGGAAACACGCAGACAGGTGAGTCAAAGGTTACACGTGCAGTAGTGCTAAGACAGGTGATACTGGGAGCTGCAGGGGCTCAGAGGAGGGACATCTGAACTGGCATGTGGCTCAGAATGACAGGAGTTGGTGATTCTTAAGCTGAGCTGAGAAGGATGAATAAAGTTAGCCAGATAAGGGGGAGGAAGAGCCTTTCTGGTGGAGCGAGAGCCCATGGAAGGCGGGCAGGAAAGAACTGTGATTAGCTGGAGGAGCGGGGCCCAGGGGAGAGGGTCGGAGGGGAGGGGAGGAGCAGGGGTGAGGTCACGGAGGGCCGGGGTGTCTACCTGAGAAGTCTGGACCTTATCAAGAAAGCCATGGAAAGCTGGAGAAGCAGCTGGAAGAGCCAGCTGGAGAACAGGCTAGGAAGGCAGGCTGGCGTTCTTCCTAAATTGTGGACGGACAACCCCTCACATCTACAGGCCTCTCTGTCCTCAATTACACCTACCCATAGTCACAGGCAAGTTTGGAACTGTTGAAGGAATGGTTTCTCGTGGCTTAAATGGATCCCATTTTCTTGGCCTGAAACTTGCTAAGTGCTATTCATTTTTCCTGTGGGCTTTATAGCTCACTCTGGACTCTGAGAAACCATTACATCAATTCAGTAAGGTTGAACAATGTAAGGTCTATCATTTGCAATCTGCTGTCTTGCCAGATTGAATCCTAGAAAGTATTTTTGAGCACTGATTTTCAAACCTAGACAGTCATCTGAGGCAAGTGACTAAAAAAATGTAGATTTCTAAACACTGGCTCCTAGGGCTCAGGAATCTGTACGTTTATTTTGCTCCCCAAGTTATTCTGACACAGGCAGCCTGGCCCCGATTTCCTGCTCAAATATTTTGGGTATCACTAGTTGGACCTAAGTAAAAAGGAACGCACATTTAATGCCTGACTGTTCTAATTAAGTACTGACTCATGAGTGTCTCTTGCAGGTGTACATGTGAACACCTATGTGGCTGCCATTTGTCATGTTACATGAAGTGTACTGCTCTTTGTGCCAGCTGGAAACATTGAACTCTTATGTCATATCCCATATCTGTTACTTTTCCAGTTCCCAATCTCTTCAAAATGTTTTCTGATAATCATTTTTCTCTCCTTCCCTTCTTCTTATCGGAGGTTTTACCATTTCATTAGAAAATATTGATTAGCTTATTTACTTTTTTAAATTCTTGGTGAACATATTGTTTCACTAAAGCAGTTTGGATAACTCTATATATGCAAGTGTGCACAGAGTCTGTGGGAGATGTTATATGCAAGATCATGGAGACCAATAAACAAGGCTGAAAATCCCCGTGTAATCGCAACAGTCTGAGCATGTCTGGCATCCCAGAAACATGCAACACATATGCAAACCCAAATGAATATTTGACACTGAAGTATTACCAGTTTAGCTACAGGAAAGAAGAGGCTGCCAGACCCAGGTAGTGGTAGATGGGTGGTCCCATCACAGGGCTGGGGAGCAGCACAGAGTTTGTTACCTTTCTGCGGGGCTCAGAGATCACATAAGCCTCTCTGGTGTCTTCAGAACAGATAATGACAACATGTCAAGTTTGAATTGGGGTCTTGTCCATTGTATTTCTTTTTTGCTCATAGGCACAGAAGGAGGGCATATGTTTTCACAAAGGCTCAGAGGCTCCAGGGAGGCAAGTGGAGAGGTAATGTCAGCACAGTGGAAAGCACCCTATTTCAGTGAGTGACGATGGTTTACAACACCCCTCATCTGCCCTGGGCCCCACATCTGATTTCTCTAACAGCTGCATTCTAATGTGCTTAAAAACCACTCTACAGACGTGGACCAAAATAGAAAATCTTACAGGTGGAGGGAAATTCAGAGAGCTTTTAGTCCAGTGATCCTCAATACAGGCACAAGGGTCCCTGGGGCTGTTTATGAATCCCCAGTGGATGTGTGTGTATTGGGAAGAGGGGACATGAGTTTTAAGAAAAGGCTGAGGAACACTGATCTCACTCACCACCTCCCTTATTTTACAGATAAGAAAATCAAGGCCCAGAGAGGAAAAGTGATTTTCCCTCAGAGCTAATGCATGTCAGGGATAGGCCTGGGGCTAGGATTTCCCAACCCCCAGCCCCGGCCACCTCCCGACACACCAGCTACCTCCTCGTTCGTTATCGTAGCTCCGCCCCGGATCTGTAAGGCAGTTATCGTTTGCTCCAGGTTCTTTCACTTCTGTTATCCTGTTCTATCCCTATCAACATGCTTGTCAGATAAAGAGGGCAGGCAATAATGATCACCCCATTTTACACTGAGGAAGATGAAATCTAGAAAGATAAAGGGGTATTTAGCCCAGAAAAATATAAAGACTTAGAAATGAATAAAGATCTTTGAATATTAGATAGGTTGATATCTGGAGGAAGGACCAGTCCAGTCTGCGTTTCCCCAAAGGGCAGAACTAGGGCGGCTGCATGAATTTCCAGTGGCACAGTGCAGGAGGGAGTTGGGCTTTGGAGCTCAGAGCTCAGATCCTTCATATGTCAGCTGGGTGATCCTGGAAAGTCACTTAACCCCTTTAAGCATCAGTTTTCTTCAACAGTAAAAAGGGTGATGAGAAATAATCTGTGATCTCTTGGGCCAAAACCAGAGGCTCAATAAATAGAAGGTCTTATGAGGGCCCAGAAGAGGTTTCAGTTCAACGTAAGGAAGAACTTTCTATTAGAGAGAGCAGTCTGTAAATGGAATATGCTACCTTGCTTCTTGTCATTGGAAACATTTAAGAATAAGCCAGAAGACCAGCAGTCAGAGAGAGTGTAGAGTGGGAAACTGGACAATTAGGAAATTCCACACCTCTTGCAATTCCAAAACTCTATGATGTGCTCTGGGATGAACTCAAATGTCCTGTACTCCTCTCTGTTCTTTGCACATGCTCTCTGCTGCCTCAGAGCCTATTCTCTCTGCCTGGAATGCTCTTCTTTGCCTACTCATCCTCCAGTCTCACTTAAACCTCCCTTTCTTAGGGCAGCATCCCCTGCCTCCTTCCCCCATTTGTTGACTGCATTGCCAACCATACTCACACAAGGGCCAAGCCAAGAGTGCCAGTCTTCTGACTCTCAGGCTAACACCTTTTCACCAGGATTGGTTAGCTGTTGCAAGACCACAGTCCATCAGCAACTCCTGCAGCACAGCCAAATGCATTGCAAAACAGTGAGATACTCAAACAGCTGCCCTACATTCAGAGAACCAGACTCTATGATCATTGAGTTCCAAGTTCACTTCCACGTATTAAGTTCTTAACATGTGCCAAGCACAGTGCCACTTGCTGAGAGGTCAAATACAAAAATAAGTTACAATGCTCACCCTCAAGGATCCCATTCTAGAGGGTAAGACCAATAATCTATACACATTGGGGAAAATGTATAGGCTATTCTGGATACTTGAGAAGGGAGCTCTTGGCCCAAACTCGGGTCCAGGGAAGGCCTCTTGGAGGAGCTGACACTGTATGTCTCACATTCCATGTGATCAGGAGAGCTCTTGCTATATTGTATCTTGCTGAACCAGTGGATATATTCCGAGGCAAAGCTCCAGTTACTGAGTGTTCACTGCACCTTGATTTATCTTCCAGAGCTTCTGCAGAAGTACAGGATGCCTTCATGACTTACACAGTGTATGATGACATCATTACCATTAAGCTCATCCGAGAGGCCTGCAAGGTTCTAGGTAAGTATGAAAAGGGCTTGTTTGGATTTTCTAAAGCTGCTGTAACAAAATGCAGTTGATTCTCATCATTCAAGGTAGTTTTGTTCTATGAAGTTGCTATAAACACTGAATTAGTGGATACCGAGCCACTGCTCCTAGTGGAAGTACAGGGTTAGGTTTCTGTGAGTCTCTGGTCACAATATTTTTGTCAACTGATCAATACATAACCTTCTTTTATGTGTGCATCTGTTTAAAGACAACATGTTTAATATCTATGGTTGATTCATTAGCCTTGAATTCATGGCCAGCAGCACTGTAACTCATGCTCGAATGAAGCTAATCTAACGTATATACGCTCACTGTAAGGCACATCACAGCTTTCTTGTGCATAGGCACACCGGACAGCACGTCAGCACTATGCTTGGGTGCTGTTTTAAACAGCAAAATCACCAACAAAAAGCATAAAAATGTAAAAATATGACACTAAATAGGCTGAAAGAAGGACACTTGTTTATAGTATGAGAACTGAAACAAGAATGGAGAGCATTGCCTTGCTAGACCTCAGCTAGAAACACTTGTGTTAGGCAATGTAAATTTTTTGCTGCTCCATTCATGTCTATGAATGACCATGACAGCTCTGTGAATATTGATTTTGGGTGCTACAGATAAATTTTAGTATGTGGGTAAATTTGCAAATACAGAATCCTCAAATAAGGAACGTCGACTGTATCACAAACTAGGTGGGGTTTAAAACAATAGAAATGTATTCTGTCATGGTTCAGGGGGCCAGAAATCCAAAACCAAGTTGCTGGCAGGGCCATCCTCTCTCTGAAGGCTCTTGGGAAGAATCCTTCCTTCTTTCCTCCAATTCCTAGTGGCCCCGTGTGTTCCTGGGCTTGTGACAGCATCACTCCAATCTCCGCCTCTGTCTTCACATGGCCATCTTCTTCCTGTGTGTCTGTGTCTCTGTCTACATATTCCTCTTCTCATAAGAACACCAATCATATTAGATTTAGGGTCCACCCCCAATGACTGCGTCTTAACTTGATTACATCCGCAAGGTCTCAATTTCCAAATAAGGTCACATTCACAGCTTCGTGGTAGACATGAATTTTGGGGGACACTCTTTAACCCAGTACAGGGCTCATGTGTGGCCCTTTCCATTCTAGTAGCCTTAGGTTACTCACAGACAAAAGTCATGAGTGTCACTTTGAGTTTCTTCATCTGCTCTGCCACCACCATGTTTGGCTTTGACAGGTGTCCAATATGTTTGACGTGACTCACTCCGATTACCTCTGTGTGTCAGGAGAAACAACACTGAGAATCCCCTCATGCCAGCCACACTTGTATTTATCTAGAAATGGACACGGTGTGCTTTGCAGGGTGCTGAGGGCCCTTCTCAGATTAAAAAGCTAGGAACTGGGGGGGGATGGCCAGTTAGCTCACTTGGGAGAGTGTGGCGCTGATTAAAAAAACCTAGGAACTGGGGAGTGTCATTGGCACCTGCAAACCTCAGACTGTTTTGGGGGGACTCCAAGACCCCTTTGTCTCCCCACAGCTGATACCAGGGAGGTTTGCAATGGGGCATGGATTGTCAAAAAGCAGGTGGCCTCTGGCTTTTTGTGCAGGAGTCTGAGTCCAGGTGTGTGCTCTTTTCAGTACTGTGCCCCCCGGGAGCTGGGAGCCTGGAGACCCAGAATCTAGACTCAGCCCTGCTGCCTGGTCGCAGCCTTTTTGTCCAGCTGCAGCAGCAGGACCACACCAGTGACACCTCTCAGCCTTTCTGCCTCACATACCTGCCAAAGAGGGCTCTGTTCGCTTCTCTTAAACACTGTTTCTAAAAGAAATTTAAAATATGTGATTATGATGGTAAAGTGCAAACCACACAGACAGACCCCTTTTTGATCCTAATATTCACTACCCCCTATGGGCAAGGCCTAGCTGCCACCCTTCCGGGGACAGTTCTGCAGGTGTGTGATTCTGAGTGATGGCTGGTGGGCCACAAGCAAGTCGATGCTTTCCATTGCGAAGAAGGAGGAGCAGCAGTTACTTTCTCTCCATAGAAAGAATAATAATCATTAGAAAGGAATTCTATATGAGAGGTGGCTGTTTTTGACCTGCAAAGCTACAGTTTTGACAGAGCTCAAAAAAGAAAAGGGCAAAAAAGCTTAGAACGGGTAGTGAAATTAAACCCACATGTAGTCTTCCCTTGATTTTGTTTCCAGAGATTCCTGCAGCAGGAGGATGCAGTGGCTATGTCATGCAGCCTCAGTTTGATTCCTAAGGGCATCTTCTTGTTATTCTAAAATGGGAATGAGGGGTTGGCTTCTGCTCTGTCATACCAGCTGTGTGACCTTGGGCTAGAATTCCAGTGATGGTTGATTTCCTCCTCACAAAGGAATAATACCTCAAAGTGTCATGGGAAGGAATGAATTGAATCAGATTACCAACGTCAGGCACTTAGCAACATGCGTGGCACACGGTGGGTGCTCGGCAAATGTGAACTGAATGCTGAATCTGAAGGGAAGGCAGGAGTGTTTCAATGTTTCGTACCTCTGGATGTTGTCCCTTAAAGTAGAGATAGGCTTTGCTGTTCGCTTCAAATGACTGTGACAGATAATAATGTTCTGAGCCCTTTGATCAGTGGTTGGCGAAATACAGCCCATAGGCCAAATCTCGGCCCCTGCCTGGTTTTGTAAATAAAGTTTTATTGGAACACAGCCACTTTACTTTGCCTGTTTGTTTATGTATTGTCTATGGCTGCTTTTGTGCTATGGTGGCAGAGTTGAGTAGTTGTGCCGGGACCATATGACCTACAAAGCTGAAAATGTTTACTGTCTGCACTTTATAGAAAAGTTTGTCACCTCGTGTTCTAGAGAATGGATCTTTAACACACAGATTCAAGATCTTAAAAATCTCTTTCAACATTAAGAACTGCTGTGAACTGAATGTGTCCCCTTAAAATTCATGTGTTGAGTCCTTAACCTCCACAGTGATGCTATTTGGAGACGTACCTTTGAGAGATAATTAGGTTTGGATGTGGTCATGAGGGCACGGCCCGTATGATGGGATTAGTGCCCTTATAAGTGGAGGCAGCAGAGAGCTTTCTCTCTCTCTCATTGTCCTGTGAGGACACAATGAGAAGGTGGCCGTCTATAATCCAGGAAGAGAGTCCTCACCAGAACATGACCATGCTGGCACCTTGATCTTAGACATCAACCTCCAGAAATTTCTGTTGTTTAAGTCACCTAGTCTATGATGTTTTGTTATGGCAGCTCTAGTGTCTATTAAGTTTTTAGATCTCCAGAAAGAAATACTCTGTATGTGTACCATCACCCCAGTCCATTTTTGTAAGGTGTGTGCTCATGATCTTAGTGTAGCAGCAACTTTAGTAGAGAGAAGCCATCGCACACCTGCCCAGCTGCAGTCACGTTTCCAACCCAACTAACACATTCAGAGGCAGCAACAAGTTTATAGACCCAGTGTGAGCTGACCCACATCCTCTTGCTATGAAAAGCCAAAGTGCATCACTGTGATTTCCCTCTATCCATCTTCAAATACCAGAAGCCTTTTTTCTTCTTCTTATTTATCTCCATAACATCTTTTGGCTCATATCTGAAAGGATAGGTAATAATGGTGAGTACATTTTTCAAATAAAAAGTTGGGATGCAAAATTGAGTGAACACATGCATGAAATTTGGAATCAGGAGGCCGTGGGGAGACTTCTGTGTGGTTACTCTTTAGATACAAGACTCCTTCAAGTCAGGGAGAGCAGGGCCCAGACAAAGGGAAGGCTACAGGAATTGCATTTACTGCTTAACAAAATGTACTGGTCAGTTGAGAGCAACCCCTCCCTTTGACAAAGAAAGAAGCATGCTTAGTCACCACTAGTCAGGGCTTTGCTTTCTAACTGGGCACCAGAATGCAGTTTTCCTACCTTGAAACAATTGTTGGGACTATTCCAGCCCACTCTGCCACTGCATAGCTCTGTGCTTTCTAATTAGCATAATTCAGGATGGGACCAGATGGCAGGTTGAGCATTGTATGAGGAATTGTTCTGTCCATGAATAAGTGCCTACTTAGTGTGTAAGTGGGTTATTAGTGATCTGAAGTGACAAAATTCAAAACAAAACACAACAGCCATTTGGCACAGCTGTGTCCGTCTAGACTTTGCTCGCTAAGAAACCCGTAGTAAAATGCGTTTCAACAGTTAGCTATCAGCAGATGCCAACAAGCTTCTCTGCACCTACCTCTTTAAAAACAAGAGTAACAAAAGAGAATTTACAAAGTCCTGAAATCAGACGTTATAACATTTGCTCTTTGCCATACCCCTCTGAGGGTGGCACAGGTGACCCAGGCTGTGCCACCAGTCAAAAATGGAGACTTGAACTTAGTTCACCTGATTACAAGGCTAGTGCTGAATCCTGTAGACTGGAGGGGAAGCCGACAATGTCTCTAGCAAGGGGTTTGGAATTAGACAGATGGGGTGAGCCCCCCGGCTCTACCATTTCCTAATAATCTAACCTGGGGCAAATTCTCCATTGGTAAAATGGCAATAAAACCTGTGACACCTACCTCAGGGGGTTGTCCTAAAGATGAAATCAAATAATGTGAGCAAAGTAGGTACATGACAAAGAACCTCACCCTGTCCCCCTCCCACACATGCCACCAAATAGACCCCTGTCCCGCTGCTCTGGCCCCTGTTGGGCTGACTCTTCTGTTCCAAGATTTGATGGGAAGCAGGCAGCTTCTGATCTATCAGGCTTAAGTGGGGCTTTGTCCCTGCAGAAGTCTGCCCCCAAACTACCTTAATCTGTCTCCCAGCTCCTTTTTCCTCTATGCCCAAATAAAGTTACTGCTACGTCTGACTCCCAAACCTCCTAATTTAGAGCCTGCTTCTTCCTGGCAAACTACAATATCAACATGGATAGCAGTTTCTCTTCTTTTCTAACTACTCTTTCTCCTAGAATATGTCCCTTACACATTATCTCTTGCCTGACTTAAGTGATATCATTTGAGAA